GCAGCAGACCAAGGATTTCTTGGTCTATGAGCTCCCTGCTTGCTGGCCCTCCCAGGTGCTGCTTGCCCGGTGACTCCATCAGAGCAGGGCACACCCTAAAGCAGAGGGACATCAAACCTACCCGAGCATCCTGCCTGAGCACTGCCCAGCACGATTCTCTCCCAGGCACGGTTAGGGATTAATCTTCAGGGACCTGGGGACAGGCCCACAGGCAATATTCTGTACCCCCAGGACTTGCTTATGTTGCTCTGGGGCATGGAGGGGAGATTTGTGAACTAATCTCAGGACAAAAGGTAGCCTGAATGGGCAGAACTCTAAATAGAGTTCAGTGCAGGTCCCAGCCACAGAGCACTTGTGGAGCTCCCCCCCCCCCCCGCCCCCACAGGAAGGACAAGCTGTCAGCTCAGGGCAGGATTCTGGACAGGGAACCTCCCAGCCTGCAGCACCATCATGGGGGAGCTCAGCTAGTTTGAGCTTCTGCCTCCTGGCAGGTGCCAGAGGGAGACCATGGAGTAGGGCAAGAAGGAGAAGAGAGAAACCTCTCCTGATCACCACATTGTGAATCTGAGATGGCCCCTCCCCCACAAGCAGACTTTCTGGCTGGATGGGGCCACCTCAGCCCCTCGCTGGTGGCCTAGGAGTGAACCTTTGACTCCTGCAGAGACAACTACTTTACCAGATTTTGTGGAGCTGAAGGCAGGCTCACCCAACCCAGCCCTGCCCAGCCTCAATCCCACACCCACCTCTGTTGTCATGGAGAATAAGGAGTGTCCTGGGAGCTCCAGGCCTCTGCCAGCTCTGGGAGCACCCCTGGGAGCACCAGGGCTCTGCTGGTGGCATTAAAGTGCTTCCCCTGAGGGGCTAGAGGGGCTCGTCATGGGTCTCCAAAACAAAAATATAACTGGTTCTTTCTAGCAAGCACCATCTCCTGGCAGGGATGTCAATTTGTACAGCCTTTTAGAACATTTACTGACTCAATCACACAGGGTGTGGCTGGCTCTTACCCAGAAGCACCACCAACTGCCTCATAGATTAAATTGGATATCCCAATACGATTCATGCTGTTAAGAAGACCACAGGGCTGGGAAAAGAGAAAGGATTTCAAAGACCTCCATCTTCCCCCATCAACAAGAGATAGGGAATCTGACCACACACATAGCATACCACTGCCATAGCCTACAAATAACTAGCAAGTGAGAAAACCACCACACTAATAATATCTATAACCAAGACATCCATCAGTAACCTAGACCCCCAACAAAGCACCCACAAGCAAAGCCAAAGGTCCTTACCAAATATATGCTACAAATACATCCTTATGAGTGATGGAAATCAAAAGATTCCTTGAACTGAATGACAAACGAGATACAAGCTATCAAAATCTATGGGATTGAGCAAAAACAGTACTAAGGGGAAAATTCATAGCCTTAAATGCCTACATCAAAAAGAAGGATCACAAATTAACAATATAATTACACACCTCAAGGAACTAGAAAAGGAAGAGCAAACCAAACCCAAAGCCAGCAGAAGAAAAAAAATAAGTAATGTCAGAGAAGAACTAAACTAAATGGAGGACAAACAAAAACAATACAAAAGATCAATGAAACACAAAGTTGATTCTAGAAAAAGATAAACAAAAATTGAAAGACTTTTTGCTAGATTAACCTGGAACAGAAGAGAAAGGACCCAAATAAGTTCAATCAAAAATGAAAAAGAGATATTACAACTGATACGAAGAAATACAAAATATCATATAAACACTATAAAAATCTCTACACAAACTAGAAAATGAAGAAGAAATGGACAAATTCCTGGAAACACACAACCTTCCAAGACTCAAGCAAGAAGAAACAGAACTTCAGAACAGACTGATAACAAGCAGGGAGATTGAAGCAGTAATAAAAAGTCATCCAAAAAAAAAAAAAAATCCCTGGACCAGATGGATTCACAGCTGAATTCTACCAGACCTACAAAGATTTGGCACCTGTTATTCCATAATATCTAAAAGGATAATATCCTCAATAACTCATTCTATAAAGCTGGGATCACCTTGATACCAAAGCCAGGAAAGGACACAACAACAACAAAAAAACTACAGACCAATATGCCTTATGAATATGGATGCAAAAATCCTCAATAAGATACTAGTAAACCAAATAAACACATTTAAAAAAGAATCCACCATGAGCAAGTGGGCTGCATCCCAGGGATGCAAGGATAGTTTCAACATATGTAAATCCAAAAATATCATTGACCACTTAAAAAGAAGCAAAGACAAAAACCATATAATTATCTCAATAGATGCAGAAAAAGTATTTGACAAAATCCAGCATCTTTTCACAATAAATACCTTGAACAAACTAGGTATAGAAAGAATGTATCTCACAATTATAAAAACCATATATGACAATCCCAAGGCCAACATCATACTGAATGAGGAAAAGTTGAAAGCATTCCCCTTCAGAACTGGAACAAGACAAGGGTGCCCACTGTCACCACTTCTATTCAACATAGTTCTGGACGTCCTAGCCAGAGCAATCAGGCAAGAGAAAAAAAATAAATGGCATCCAAATCAAGAAACAGGAGGTTAAACTATCTCTTTTCACTGATGATATGATCTTATATCTAGAAAACTCCAAAGACTTCACTAACAGACTCCTGGAATTGATAAATAAATTCAGTACAGTCTCAGGACGGACACATAATGGACACAAATCAGTGGCATTTCTACACACAAATAACAGTCAAGCTGAGAGTCAAATGAAAAGCTCGATACCATTTCCAATAGCTACAAAGAAAATAAAATACCTAGAAATACACTTTACAAAGGACGTGAAAGATCTCTATAAGGAGAATTATGAAACACTGAGGAAAGAAATCACAAAGGACACAACCAATAGAAAAACACATCATGCTCATGGATTGGTAGAATCAACATTGTTAACATGTCTGTATTGTCCAAAGTGATTTACAAAATCAATGCAATCCTCATCAAAATACCAACATCATGCTTCACAGATGTAGAATAATTATATGTTTCATTTGAAACCAGAATAGAGCCTGAATAGCCAAAGCAATCTTAAGCAAAAAGAACAAATCAGGAAGTGTCACTTTATGAGAACTGAAAGTACACTACAAGTCTATAGTAACCCAAACAGCATGGTATTGGCAAAAAAAGGAAAAAAAAAACAAAGGAAAAAAAAAAGGAACCCAAAAAAAAAAACAATTAACAAAAAAAAAACTGATCTTTGACAAAGCACACAGCAATACACACTAGGGAAAAGAAACCCTATTCAATAGATGGTGCTGGGAAAACTGGATAGCCACATGCAGAAGAATGAAACAGGACCCATATCTCTCACCACTCACAAAAATTAATTCAAGATGAATATAAGCCTTAAATGTAAGGCATGAAACCATAGAGCTCTAGAAGAAAACATAGGGAAATCTCTTCTAGATATCAGCCTAGGCAAAGAATTTATGACTAAGACCCCAATGGCAATTATAGCAGCAACAAAAATAAGAAATGAGGATTGATGAAATTAAAAAGCTTCTGCACAACTAAGAAAGTAATAAACAGAGCAAACAGACAACCTACAGAATGGGAGAAAATATTCACAAACTATATATCTGATAAAGGGCTAATATACAGAATCTACAAGGAATTTAAATAAATTAGCAAGAAAAAAAAAAACAATAAGCAACTCCATGAAAAAGTGGGCAAAAGAAATGAATAGAAGTTTTCCAAAAGAAGATGGAAATGGCCAACAAACATATAAAAAATGCTCAATGTCCTAATCATCAGGGAAATGCAAATTAAAACCACAAGAAGATATCACCTTACCCCTGTTAAAATGGCTTTTATTGAAAAAACCCCAAACAATAGATGTTGGTATGGATTCAGAGGAAAGGAACCTTATATGTTGTTGGTGGGACTGCAAATTAGGACGCCCTCTATGGAAAACAGTATGAAGAGTCCTCAAAGAACTGAAAGTAGACCTACCATTGGATGCAGCAATCCCCTTACTGGGGAACATATCCAAGGAAAAGAAGTCATCTTATCAAAAAGACACCTGCACTCAAATGTTTATTGCGTCACAATTTACAATTGCAAAGATCTGGAATCAATCCAAATGCCCGTCAATTCATGAGTAGACTAATAAAATGTAGTACATATACACCATGGAGTACTACTCGGCCATAAAAAGGATGAATTAATGCCTTTGCCACAATTTTGAAGCAGTTGGAGACCATTATCTTAAGCAAAGTATCTCAAGAATTGAATAACAAACACCACATATACTCTCTATTAAACTGGAACTAACCAAGGGGCACACGTGCACAGAGGGAAGTAAAAATCATTGGAAATCAAGCAGACGGATGGAGGGAGAGGAGGAGGGACAAAAACCTATCTAAAGGGTACAATGAACACTATTCAGGTGATGGACACGCTTATAGCTCTGACACCAGCCAGGTAACAAAAGTATTTGTGCCCCCTTAATATTTAAAAATGAAAACAAATAATATAAGTACAGTTAGTGAACAGTGTGAATCTCTATTCAGCGAATACACATAAGTTCCATGAGAAAAGTACTAGATAGGCAATGAAATTTCAATTACAGGTTATATTTTGTTCTTTTAAAGTTTGTTCTTATTTTCAATTTTTCTCTATTGAATGTATACTTAATTCTGAGTGAAAATATCAAGCATGTATCATTTAAGAACATAGTATGAGGCGGGGAGGGGGGCATGGGCAATATACGTAACCTTAACACTTGTACCCCAATAATACGCCAAAATAAAAAATAAAAAAAAAAATTAAAAAAAAAGAATGTGAGGAAATACTCAAGATACATAAAAATAAGTATTTCTAAAATAACAAATATAATACCAATGTCTATTTTGCTTTTTAATGCAAATGTATGGCATAGAAAAAAGAAAAAAATAGAAGAACATAGTATGAAATATTAGGAAGTTATGTGGGGACAAAAACCACTTACTTTATTTGCAGCACAAACAGTTCCGTCTTTTACCCACATGATCGCACTCTGCGCATCATCGTGTGGATATTCCAGGGCGATGCAACGGTCATCATCTATGGTGACATAAATTATAGTGGTCGTTTTCTCTCTAAATATTTCTGTAGAGTCATATCTACATATTAGTTTTCCACACTGCAGATCTCTATAATTGATCCATAAATAAAAATGATTAATTCTAATTTAGAGAAATATTAGAATATGCTTTCTACAACAAACAGATTTAAATAAAGTATTCAAAAATAGATAAATAAAAAAAAGAAAATAAAGTATTCAAGGTTTGCAAAAGAGTGTCAGCAATTAATTCCGAAACACCAAGAAATTTGAGGGCCTTGCCTGAATTATTAATAACAATCGAATATTTTAATAATTATGGACTAGTTCTTATTTCCTAGTTAGCCTGATTACTTTTTTGTGTGTGATTCCTTCATTTTCTTTGGTCATTAAACAAGATCAAATCCAAGCTTATTCTATCCTAAAAAAAAGTAATAATAAATTTATCTTATTACCAGTTTTACTGGGTTTCCCTTTTAACTTAATATATGGGTCCAAAACTGACAAAATTCTGAAACCTGCACTAGAGAAACATTTAATGCAATAAACATGAAAATAAACCACTAAGATATATCATAATGATAGTGCTGTGAACCACAGGAAAAATCCATTCCTAGTAGGCGGGGGTGTTTTTCATGGATTAGTGCTGGATTTTGTGGTAACTCACACACCAAAGTAAAATTGTGTAGATAAATCTAAGTAAGGAAGCTCTAAGAGAGAGAGAGAGAGAGAGAGCAGGTATAGGCAAATCAGCTCTCTTCAAAACAAGTATAAAACCAGGCCAATTTGTCAAAAACAACTATTCCAGGGCTGTGAATATTAATCAAAAGCAAACAATAAAATTGAGAAGAATTTCTTCATGAAAAGCTGCTATAAAACCAGGTGGGCGGAGGCGGAGGCTTGTGGGCTTCCCCTGAGTGGGATCCCATCCCCTCTCAAATCTCAGCGCCTTCCTGTCAGCAGAGCAGTGCCCAGCAAGTTCCACTGCAGAACAGTTTCTCTCAGTTGGGTGTGAAGGGCAAGAAAGCCACACCCAGCAGCGCTTGAGTAAAAGTAGCAAGCACAGAGGAAAAAAAAATGAATGGTAATAAATGGAAATAATTCATTTCCAACATCTTCCCTGTAAGAAATATTAAAGGAAGTTCTTCAGGCAGAAGGAAAACGATATGGGTCAAAAACTTGGATCTACAAAAGAAAGGAAGAGTGTCAGAAAATAAATACATGAAAGTAAAATTTCTTTTATTTTTCTTACTCTTGGTTGAACTAAAAGGTAACTGTCTGCTTAAAGCAATAACGGTAAGAATATGTCGGGTGTTTTTAGCATTTGCATAAGCAAAATGATTAACAGCAATGTCACGAGGGACTGAATGGAAGAACTAGGACACTCGATAATAACACACCTGCACTTCACAATGGAGCAGCATTAGCGTTATTTGAGGAGGGACTATTCTTGTGTTATATAATTGTTATTTGAAAATAGTAGATATAAGCGCAATGTATCAATAATCACTTTTAATTGGGATGGTCTAAACAACCAATTAAAAGCCAGAGATTTTCATTGTGGATACCAAAAACATGACCTAAGGTTTGTTCAACTTTTGAAAATCGGTTGATTTAATGTACTATATAAATAGAATAAAAAACCAAAAAACATAAAATTATGTCAGTAGATGAATGAAAAGCATTTGAAAAAATGAGACCACCTTTCAGGACTAAAGCCTCTAAACAAACTAAGTTTAGAAGGGAACTTGTATCAGATGAGGAGCATCTAAAAACACCCTCCAGGCCGGGTGCGGTGGCTCACGCCTGCGATCCTAGCACTCTGGGAGGCCGAGGCGGGCGGATCGCTCGAGGTCAGGAGTTCGAGACCAGCCTGAGCAAGAGCGAGACCCCGTCTCTACTATAAATAGAAAGAAATCAATTGGCCAACTAATATGACATAGAAGAAAACTACCAGGCATGGTGGCGCATGCTGAGTCCCAGCTACTCGGGAGGCTGAGGCAGGAGGATGCTGACCCAGGAGTTTGAGGTTACGGTGGAGTGAGCTGACGCCACGGCACTCACCCTAGCCTGGCAACAAGCGAGAACTCTGCTCAAATTAAAAGAATAAAATATAAAAAATATAAACTACAAAATCCAACCGCTAAGATAAACTAGTTAATGGGAAAAGCTAAATATTTTCCATAAAACTGGGAATGGGAACATGTGTCTTCCTTCTCCAGTTCAAATGCTACATTTAATGAAATCTAACAGTTTACAGTCCAAGCAAGAAAGGGAGAAGGCACAGTTCAAAAGAATAAATTGAAAGTTTACTTGAAGGTGAAATGATCCTAGACATAAATGCTAAGAAACACACACACACACCACACCACCACACACGACACAACCACACCCACGCACAGCACACGCACACACCACGCACCACACACGGCCACCACACAAGCACACAACGCACACAGGCACCACACACGCACACGCACACACACGCACACGCACACGCACACACACACACACAAGTCCAGGATGGTCACACAATACAAAAGATCAAGATCAACACAAAAACATTGTGTGTAGTTTTGTTATAATTATTATAGACAAGTAATGAACAATGTAAAAATGAAATTTAGAAAACCATGCTGTTTATAATAGCCTCAAAAATAGAATATTTAGGAATATATTTAATGAAAGAAATATGGCACTTGAACACTGAAAACAAGCAAATCTGGCTGAGAAAAATTATAGACCAAAATAAATTGAGAGACATTCTATATTCATCAATTGGAAAACTCAATACTATTAAGATGGCAATTCAGTACACAACACCTGCCCCTACATCCTCGCACACATACAGATGCATGCAGAACTGATGAAATTTGAATAAAATCTGTGAATTTACCAATGCAAATTTCCTGAATAATATGTCACAAGACAGAATCTAGAAATGCATACATTTAACTGATTTTAGACAATAAAAAACAAGAGCAAAAATCTCCCTTTATATACATCACTTAAATTGATTTCAACTGTTAAAATTTTGCTAAGCATGAATTTTACATTTGTTCACCTTTTGGGTGATCTTAAAAATTAAGATTTTTAAGGGTCAAAGTCACATTAATTAACAAAAATAATTACTAATGATATGCTGTAGGGTTAGCATTAGGTATATCATTTAAGGCTTACTATTGGATTAATGTGAGTCTCTGTTCATATAGTTAGTACACACTATAACATAATATTTTTATTTGGCCCATGTTTCCTGTCTGGAATCTAAAATGCTACCACATGACGATTGCTATATTAGAGAATTTGACAAACCAAGAGGGGCAGGAAAGATTAACCCTAGGTCAACTACATATACTGACATAGACAACATATGTCGTCTAAATAACCTCTTAACCAGCAAAATCTCAGCAATGATGAAAGTCTGAATGTCTCAGTGCAATTTTCTGTAGCCAGGCCTTTTCCACCTTTGGCCAAAGAGGGAAAGGAAAATGGACAAATCAGCCTCTGATATTCAGGGGTGAAGGCCACATATTATCATCAAGGCCTTGGAGCTGACAAAAGCTGCCCCGCACGCAGGGGTACCCACCTGTTGAACAGTTTCATAGAACATTAACACTAGGCAAAGCCACTCTGTGACCACAAAAGACTAAGAAAAAGAAGCAAGTCCACTCTGTAAATCATGTCTGGACACACAGAGAGAAAACAAACATTGTCTAGGCAGTGAAAGGTTTAGGTTATTAAATATGAAATGTCCAATTTCAAATCAAAAGTGTAGTTTATTATATCTCAAACAAGAAGCAGTACAATTGACCAAAGTGTGTGCCTAAACTATGGACACAGTTTTTCCGACTTGACAGCAACTTGTTTATTATGCCAGCAGCATAGAAGCTGGAGAGCAAGTGGCGATGAAATCGCAAAAGGCGTTTTCCACATCTTGTTGAGAACTGAGTATTTTTCCTTACGAGAAGTGGTCCAAAGCCTGGAAGAAGTGGTAGTGAGTTGGTGCGATGTCTGGTGAATATGGTGGATGACAGAGCGTTTCCAAGTCCACCCTCTGTAGTTCAAGCAGTGTTTGTGCAAAGTGTGGTCGAGCATTGTCTCGTAAGAGGGTTGGCTTGTCTCTGTACACCAATCTCAGCTGCTTAATCGCAAGCATCCTCATCATTTCATCCAGTTGGTTGCATAGACACCTGCTGTAGTCAATTAACCAGGTTTCATGAAGCCACAGTGAACAACACCAGTTGCTGGATCACTAAACAGATACCAATTTTTTTTTATGACTATTCGGTTTTGGACTGTGTTTTGGCACTTACTACATCTTTATCCAAACATTGTGCTGAATGCTTGAAATTGTCAAAAAGAATCCATTTTTCATTACATGTAGCAATATGGTGTAGAGAGGGTTTGCTTTTATGACGTGACAACAAAGAAAGGCATTGAGACAACTTCTCTGCTACAGCTTGTTTAATTCATGTGGAGCCCATCTGTCCAGCTTCTGTACCTTGCCCATTTGTTTCAAGTGGCCCAATATTGTTGGAACAGCAGCATCAAACCTCGCTGCTAATTCACGCGTAGGTCGGGATGGATTCGCGTCCACTACAGTTTTTAGCTCATCATTGTCCATCTTTGTCTCAGACAGCCCATGTGGCTCATTTTCAAGATTAAAATCACCAGAAATGAACTTCTCAAACCATAGACGTACTGTGCATTCGTTCATCAGCTACATCCTTCCCAAACACTTCGTTGATATTTCGAGCTGTCTGCACTGCTTTGGTTCCATGACGGAACTCACATTGGGAAATAACATGAATTTTTGACTTTTCCATGGTTTCACAAAAATTGCTCTTAAAAATGTTTGAAAGATGGCTGGGCGCGGTGGCTCACGCCTGTAATCCTAGCACTCTGGGAGGCCAAGGCGGGCGGATTGCTCAAGGTCAGGAGTTCGAGACCAGCCTGAGCAAGGGCGAGACCCTGTCTCTACTATAAATAGAAAGAAATTAATTGGCCAACTAATATATATAGAAAAAAATTAGCCGGGCATGGTGTGCGCATGCCTGTAGTCCCATACTACTGGGAGGCTAGCAGGAGGATCGCGTTGAGCCGGGTTGAGGTTGCTGGAGCGAGCTGCCGCCACGGCACTGCACCTAGCCTGGCACAAAGCGAGACCCTGTCTCAAAAAAAAAAAAAAAAAAAATTTGAAAGAGTAGACAAAGCCAAAATCATTTAAAGACGGGGGTCCTTTGCAATAAAATAAGCAAGGTGTCAAGAGAATGTCAGAGTCATCAACGGCACACTTAGTATTTCAGGAATCAGACATTTCATACTTAATAACCTAATGCTATGTATTCCCAGCATTCAACTAATATGAGTGACTTTGCTACTGTAGCAATTACGCTTTACCTTCACATTAGTCTTCCTTCCTCATATATAAAATATTTATTAATATACGGTCACACAATGACCTCCAATTCTTGAAAACATTCAATTCAGAGCAAAGATCCACTTCCTGAAACTCTCCTAAACACCGCCTAACACAAGCCCTTGTAAGCTCATGTTCCTGGTCCTATAGTAAGTGCCTAACACTCTGGAACTGAGGCGCCCCACAGCGCTCCCTAATGCGCATTCTCACTCCCCACAGCATGACGAACCCAACTTGCTCAACTACACGGGTGTTCCTGGTGGCCTAGGCTGGGAAGCGTGGCAGTAAGGTAAACCGGTAATCTGAAACACACACATACACACCACTCACGTTGAAGGCACGCTGCATTTAATTTTGTGTAGTGTGTATTGTGCTTTAGTGTGGCTGATTGTGTGGTGTATGGGCTTTTTTTTGAGAGAGCATATCATCTTCTGGCTTGAATAATTCATAAAGCAGAATCGGAATATGGAGCTAACAACAGTTAGGAGACAGGAAATTCAGAGCGACTGAGCACCAAAATCTGCATATAAACTTTGTCCTAAAACCTGAATGTCTATTGAACTAGGCGCGGGTAGTGAAGGCTACAGGCAGCACAGTAAAGCAACTCCTGGAGATATGAAGAAAACCGGCCGGGCGCGGTGGCTCACGCCTGTCATCCTAGCACTCTGGGAGCCGGCAGGGCGGATTGCTTGAGGTCAGGAGTTCAAAACCAGCCTGAGCAAGAGCAAAGACCCCGTCTCTACTATAAATAGAAAGAAATTAATTGGCCAACTAATATATATATGTATAAAAAATTAGCTGGGCATGGTGGCATATGCCTGTAGTCCGCGTACTTGGGAGGCTGAGGCACAGGATAGCTGAGCCCAGGAATTTGAGGTTGCTGTGAGCTAGGTTGACGGTATGGCACTCACTCTAGCCTGGGCAACAAAGAGAGACTCTGTCTCAAAAACAAAAAAAAAAGAAAAAAAAGAAAATGAACACTATTTTCAGCTGCTGCTCACAGAAAGATATAGTGTATAGTTTGAGTTCAGCTACATAAATCCCTTCCATAACAAAATTCTATAGCCTTCAGAAAAGAAGAAATGAATATAGTTTCTATTATGTATTATTCATAGTATACAAATGTCAAGTAAAAACAATGCTACACATGTAAATAAAAAGTAAAATATGACATATAAATAAATCACTAGATATCAATATTACCCACAGGTTGCAATTAGCAGAGAAGCACTTTAAAGCAGCTAATATAAAAAGGATCAATGATTTAAAAGAAAAGATAGTCATAATAGCTAGAAGATTTATTTCAGTATATGCGTTAGTAACTGTGAAACAAACTTCTGCGTGTTCCGGGCTTGAGCACATAGGAAAGCAACTTATAAATACACTAAGATGTACTTCATAGTGTTTAATTGGAATTAGAGTTATCACTGTATTTCATGTCTTAAATATAGAAATTTAAATGAATGGGTAGGTAAATAAATGTGATACATGTATGTGCATATGTGATATGAATTTTTAACTCTGCTGACCAAGAAGGTTAAAAGGTAATGAAAAACAGAAGATGTGAGCATACCCAATGCCCAGATATTTATTTTCTATGTACCATCCTCTACTAAAAGGAACTAGGTCTCCTCGGATAAATAGCTGAATTTGGAGCAGGGATAAGGGAGGTATAACAAGAGCTTACAATATCCTTTCTTGTTCTAAAAATTTGGAAATTATTAAAGAGTCAAACATATTTTTGAAAATGACATAGTAGCCAACTCATAGGGGTTTCTCACTAGCCAAAATTGAGACAATTTGAGAAAGTATTGAAATAAATCATAGTAATATATTCTATCCTACTGAATAAAATAATTAGAGTTTGAATTGTTATAAATAAATACATAGATAAGCAAATAAGCAAACACAGAGAAGAAAATACATCTTCCTACAATACCTTTCTAGCTAATAAAGGCAAAGTTAATAATGGAGTTAGAAAATCACCAATGGATTTTAAAACTAGTTGGTGAAAATTTGAAGAGGAACAGAATATGTCCACAGTCTCAACATAACTCCCCATTAATTACGTATTAAGCACAAAGAGAAAAATAATAACTTTATAGTTCAGAAAATTAAAGAATAATAACTTTACCAAAACATTTAACCTAAATTTCCAATACTGAAAAAGAATATCATGTGCCTTTAAAAAAATTGAAGGTACAACATCAGTAGTAAACATGCCAAAAAAGGCATAACTTGAATATAATTATGAAAAATATCAAACAAGCCCAAAGTGAGGAAAAATTTTCTAAAACAATTAACTTGTAGTATTGTTTTTTCTAAAAAAATAACTAATGAAAAGGAACACAAACAAAAACAAAAAAATGTTTAGATTAAAGAACTCTACAAATAAAAAGTGCAAATAAAAAGTAAAACATGACATAGTCGAAGGGCAAATAAATCAGTAGATATCAATATTACCCACATGTTGCAATTAGCAGAGAAGCACTTTAAAGCAGCTAATATAAAAAGGATCAATGATTTAAAAGAAAAGAGTAGATACAAATACAATAGTATACAAATAGATACAAATACAAATAGTAGATACAAATACAAATTATGAGTAGATACAAATACCTGACTCCGAATTTGTTCTCAAACAAGGAAAAACACCTGTAAACACTATCTGGGGACAACCAATGAAATTTTAATGAGGCATGTTTGATGACTACAATACAATTAGATAAGAAAATACTTCGGTCCTCAAGAAAAACACAAGAATTTGTTGAGCCATAAGAAAGCACAGTCTCAAACTTTCACTCAAATGGTTCAGAAAAATAATTGTGAAAAGAGGAGAGAAGAGTTAGGCTAACAGAAGTGTAAAGGAAATGGACAAAATGTAAAGAAACAGTCAATCTGGGCAAAGGGTACATGAGTATCCTTTGTACTATGTATTTCTACATGCAAATGAGAAATTTCTTACAGAGTTTTTACTTTAACTTTTGAAATAACATCAAATTTAAATTGTACCAGCAAAAAGTGGGTCTCAGTAACATTCTATCTGGTCCTAATTTATATAAGAATAGTAATAGTTAATAGTACATACTATGTGTGTCAAGCACCGTTCTAAATGTTTTCCATGTGGTGTCTATATTCCACCCTGGCCCCAAACCAAGGATAGATATTTTTAATATTCAATACCTTACATATGAGAAAACTGAAGTGCATGCTTGAAGTCACACAAATAAATAGGTCAACAGTGAAGATAGGATTTAAAACCGATATGTCTGGTTGTAGAGTACAAACATGTTCTTAAACACTGTGCTTTACTTCCTAGATAGTAAAAATTCATATATTTTCATTTCATCCCTATGAGGATTGCCATCCTTTATAAAATTAAGGTGATAGCCTGCAAAGTAAATATGATTACTGATGGGTAAATAATGTACCCCGTATGTAAATTAAACACTTTGTGGGAAAATAAAAAGGACAATTTGGGTATAAGGAAAAGAAATATAGACTTCTCTATCCATGACATTTATAATTTGATCAAACATAGTCTTCTTTTATGGGTCGGGTGATATTTTTCTACATATAAATTTATTGGTGATATTTTCAAATATAAGGTGAGAAGTAGAGGTTCTCAGATAGATTTCTTAAAACATACTTAGCTTCACACTTTGTGTATCCTTGAGGGCCTGAACCACAGTTTCCTGACTGATCACCCTTAGTATTAAGCTCTCTAAAACACGCCTCAGTACCAAACTCTGCGGCTAAAAAAAAAAAAAAAAAAATGTGGTTAGTCATATTGCATGTGTATTAATTTAAAGTAATTAATGAATACATTTACAATTACAAAATGGCTTAAAATACAATATACAGGACAAGATCATACTATAACTTCCAAAATAAAAACTAGACTTGAGATCATACAAAACAATCTCAATGAAACATTTAAAAATTGCAAGGATTTTTGCCTACTATCCATATACATATCCCAGAGTCAACCACTGTATGCAGCTTAACTTCTAATGTTGATAAGTCTATATAAGCATATCTATAAGTACATAGGAAACTTTTAAAAAAGAAGTGAATTACTGGCCAATAAACCGTTTTTCATAAATGCCTTTTCATATCAAACCGCTAACCAATTATCTTACTTTTTTTTTATTTGGGGATTATTGTATCGGGGTAGTTTTGAAGGTTGTCAATAAATGCCCATTTCCCCTTCCCCCAAAGTCTGAGTCTCCATCATGACCATCCCCGATGGTGCACATCTCACTCACTATGTATGTATATACCGCCCCTCCCCTCCACCTGCCAATACCTATTACTGTAGCACCTGTTGTCCACTTAGGTGCTACTCAGTTAATACAGTTTGCTGTGGAGAATATACCTGGTGCTTGTTTTTCCATTCTTGGGATACTTCACTAGTGAGTATGGGTTCCAGCTCTAACCAGGAAATATAAGATGTGCTATGTCACCATTGTTTCTAGAGCTGAATAGTACTCCATGGTATACATATACCCATTTCATATTAATCCATTCTTTGGTGTGGCACTTGCTGTTTCACAAGCTTGCATTATGAATTGTGCTGCTATAAACATTCTTTTAATCATAATTTTCTCAGACCTTAAAAAAATCTTAAAGTCATAAGCGACTGTCTCACTTTCACCATCCAATTCATCTACAGGATCTGTTTAATTTTAATTCTCCTAAGATTCGACCTTCTTAAAGAACAGTTTATTTCTCATAACCTCCATCAGCTCTACTTGAATAACTTAGCCAAACATCTTTGACAGGTGGAGAGAGTGGAGACAGTAGGATTTCAGCTGAAATCCCTGCAGGGAGAAGTGAACTGAAATGCACAGTTTATTTTGTCTCAGAGGTCATTTATAAAGTTGATTACGGGTGAGTAGTCAAAATCTTAGGCTTGACTAGGGCAGTAAGCCCTTCCCTTGGCTAGAGAAGAAAAATAGGCCATATTTTAACAAATTTTACAGCTGTAATGACAAAAATTGAGGTCCAAAGGGCCCTTAACACATAATTGGTCTCTTCCTCAAGGATTTTTTTTCCTGATTTGAAACATGTGTAGGGCAGGAGATTAAAATACAATATAAGGGCCGGGCGCGGTGGCTCACGCCTGTAATCCTAGCACTCTGGGAGGCCGAGGCGGGCGGATTGCTCAAGGTCAGGAGTTCAAAACCAGCCTGAGCGAGACCCCATCTCTACTATAAAAATAGAAAGAAATTAATTGGCCATCTAATATATATATATACAAAAAAAAATTAGCCGGGCATGGTGGCACATGCCTGTAGTCCCAGCTACTCGGGAGGCTGAGGCAGTAGTATCGCTGAGCCCAGGAGATTGAGGTTGCTGTGAGCCAGGCTGACGCCATGGCACTCTAGCTCAGGCAACAAAGTGAGACTCTGTCTCAAAAAAAAAAAAAAAAATACAATATAAGGACATAACTTCCATAAAGCAGAATAGATTTTCTGCAGTCTCTGTGTTGTGGTTACACGCCTTCTAGGGTTAGGAATCTCTGGGAATAGAAAAAAACTCTCCGCTGAAAACCCTCTAGAGTTATACTCTAGAAAGAGTGGTAAACTAGATGTACACTCTAACCAAACCTCACAAATACCAGTTTCTGATTTAGTTAAGGTGATCAGTCTCTCATTTCATATGCTTAGCAGAAGAAAGAAGAGCATTTAGACTGAAAACAGGACTTTTCAAATGCAACATTTCAAGATTAAAGACAGTGGAATAATTTTTGACTAGAAATATGTCTTCATATAAAATATCACTCAAGAATAAATATAAGGACATCTTGTTGGAAAAACTCATATAGACATTGGCCTAGGCAAATAATTTGTGAAAAAGACCCCAAAAGCAATCACGGCAGCAACAAAAATCAGTAAATGGGACCTGATCAAATTTAAAAGCTTCTGCACAGCCAAGGAAACAATCATTAGCATGAATAGACAGACAACCTACAGAATGGGAGAAAATATCTGCATGCTACACATCCAATAAAGAGCTGATAACTTGAATGTATATAAAATTCATGAAAATCAGCAAGAAACAACCCCATTAAAAAGTGGGCAAAGGACATGAACAGAAGCTTTTCAAAAGAAGGTAGACTAATGGTCAATAAACACATGAAAAAATGCTCAACATCTCTAATCATTAGGAGAATGCAAATCAAAACCACAATGAGGTATCACTTAACTCCAGTGAAAATGGCTTTTATGAAAAAGTCTCAAAACAACAAATGTTGGTGTGGATGTGAGGAGATAGGAACAATCATACACTGTTGATGGGACTACAAACTAGTACAACCTCTGTGGAAAGCAATATGGACATACCTCAAAGAACTAAAAATAGAACTACCATTTGATCCAGCAATCCCACTACTAGGTATTTACTCAAAGGAAAGAAAGACTTCTATAATAAAGAAATCTGCACTTGAATGTTTATGGCAGTACAATTCACAATTGCAAGGATTGTGGAAACAGCCCAAGTGCCCATCAATACATGAGTTGATTAATAAAATGTAGTATATGTATACCATGGAGTTCTACTCAGCCACAAACAAAACAATGGTGAACTTATACATCTTGTATTATTCTGAGTAGAGCTGGAGCCCATTCTACTAAGTGAAGTATCACAAGAATGGAAAAACAAACACCATGTGTACTCACCATTAAATTGGTACTAATCGATCAATACTTATGTGCACATATGGAAGTAACATTCATAGGGCGTCGGACAGGTGGGGGGGAGGAGGGAATGGGTAAAATCACACCTACTGGGTGTGGTGTGTGCTGTCTGGGGGATGGGCAGGCTTGTAGCTTTGATGGCGATGGTGCAAAGGCAATTTATGTGATCGAAGCATTTGTACCCCCATAATATTCTGAAATAAATAAGAAAAGAATTCCAAAATACTTGAAAATTAAACAAGGATCTCCTAATAACCCAGGTATCAAAGCAAATAAAATACTAAATATTAGAAAATACTTAGAATTTAATAAAAATATAAACAAAACATATCAACATCGTGTGGATGCAGATAAGCAAGTGGCTGGGGGGAAATTTGTAGCATTCATACTTCTTTTTTAATCATGACCTAATCTTCTACCTTGTGAAACTGGAAAACAGAGGGCAAAGCAAGCTCAAAGCACAAAGTAGAAGAGAAATAATATTAGAGCAGATATTGATCAAATTTAGAACCATAAAAACAATAGGAAAAAAATCAATGAAGTAAAAAGCTGAATCTTTAAAAAGATTAATTAAATGAATAAATCTTTAATTAGATAAGCACTAAAAAACTAGAGAAAACAGAAAACGAAAATATTATGTTTGAAAGAGAAGACATCCCTACAAACCTTACAGCATTAAAACGATGATTATTGGTACTATGAAACCATAGCAAATTTGACAACTTAGATGAAATGAGCAAATGCCTAGAAAGACAGAAACTTTTGCAAAAGCTCACTCAAATATATATATAAATTTAATACTCATATTAAATAAATTGAATTAATTATTTAAAACTTTCCAACAAATATAAAGCTCCACACCCGGATGGCATCATTGGAAAATTTTATTAAATATCTATGGAAGAAATTATATAAGTGATATATAAACTTTCATGGAATATAGTAGAGAGGAAGCACCTCTAAAATTCACCTTATGAGGCCATCAATACCTTACACCAAAGGCAGATAAAGATATTCAAGAAATAAACCTAGAGACCAATATTTCTTATAAACATAAAGGCAATAATCCTCAAAAAAAATATTAGCTAATAAAATCTTACAAAAAACAAAAAGGACAATAAGATGTAATAAAAATGTTAGACATTCAAAATCGACTAATGTAACTCACAATATTACAGGTTAAAGAACAATAGGTGATTGTCCAAATACACATAAAAACAACCCTCTAACAGATTTCATCATCTATTCATTACAAAAAAAAATACTTCCAGCTAACCAGGAGAGGACACTCAACATTGTTAAGATGTCCATTCTCAAACTGACCTATACATTAAAAGAAATTCTAATAAAAATCCTAGGAGTTTTATCAATAGACATCAATAAATTGTATTTTTTTTTTACGGAAATAAAACTGAATTGAAATAGCCAAAACAGCTTTGAAATAAAATAAATTTGGCTAACCCATACTACCTGGTTTATAGAGTTACTCTAAAGTTAGTTACTGCAAAGAGGAAGTGATATTGGAGAAAGCATATATACACATAGATCAATGGAATAGAAAACAGAGTCTTATGAAATTGACCCACACAAATATGGACAATTTATTTCCTACAAAAGTATAAAGGAAAAATATAAACTGTTTTTTTTACAAACATTGGTGGAAAACTGGATGACCATATGTTCAAAAAAAACCCTGGTCCATATATTTCTACACAAAACCAACAAAAATGAATTATTGGCTTATAAAGTAAAACTACAAAACAACGACAAGAAAGAAATGGGAGGAAATTGTTGTGAGCTTTATGTAGGCAAGGATTTTGTACATGTGGCACTGAAAGCATGATCTTACTCCTACACTGCTGGTGGGACTGCAAACTAGTTCAGCCTCTGTGGAAAGCAATATGGAGATACCTTAAAGTGATACAAGTGGATCTACCATTTGATCCAGCAATCTCAATACTGGACATCTACCCAAAAGAACTAAAGTCACTCCATGAAAAAGACACCTCCACTTGAATGTTTATAGCAGCACAATTCACAATTGCACAGATGTG